GAACATGTACCGAACCAAACACTTCGTATATTTGACATTCTGTTTCAGTATGTGGTGGTTCTTTTTGAATCTTCTTGTTGAATAAAAAATCTAATGAAATTTTTGTAATTCCCGCTCAAAAGGGCTATTGCAGAATATCTCTCGTGACCAACCAAACAAGTTATCGGCGAATGATGTATATCTCACTGCTGGTTGTACCCAAGCCATTGAAATCATAGTATCTGTTCTTGCACGTCCTGGTGCCAACATTCTTCTTCCAAGGCCTGGTTACCCTCAGTACGAAGCTCGCGCAGCGTTTGACCACCTCGAAGTACGCCATTTCGATCTTCTTCCTGAAAAGGGCTGGGAGGTGGATCTTGATTCTGTTGAATCTCTTGCAGATCACAACACTGCCGCTATGGTTATCATCAATCCTAGCAATCCCTGTGGAAATGTCTTCACTTCTCAGCATTTGAAAAAGGTATACGTGCACATATATAACTTGCTCGATCAATTTTAATCTATGGAAAATGTTGTCTTGTCATACTGCTTTATATATGTTGCTATAGACCATTGACCGACTTGATTGGAACGTCACAATTGAACAACATAAGCATTTGTTTGACGACATATTTAAACTACTTACCGATCATTTGGCCAATTAGCATGAGTTGTAGGGCTCAGATTGACGTCTTCTTTTCGATGGAGTGTTTAATCGAAACGAATTTGTACTAAGTTCTAATGAACATTGTGCTTGTCAAAATTAATAGATTGCAGAAACAGCAAACAAACTTGGTATCTTCGTAATTTCGGATGAAGTTTACGGGCATCTAGCTTTCGGCAGCAACCCTTTTGTACCTATGGGAAAGTTTAGTTCCATCGTACCAGTTATTACGCTTGGCTCTGTATCAAAGACATGGATTGTTCCTGGTTGGAAACTTGGCTGGATTGTCAAAAATGATCCCAATGGCATCTTTGAAAAAACTGGGGTACTCAAACTGGTGTTTTGTCTGTGTTTATATATTTTTGCTTTCACCTATATTTTTCTTATGCTGTTATTTCTGTGAGCGGTAAAGTAGCTTCATTGACGCATATATAAGTATATATATACGAGCTCGTTTTCAGCGCGGATCTCGTTTTACCATAGCAAAAAGGGGAAAACAATGAAATATATAAGAGATCGTTTTTGTTACAGTAGAACGGAATCCGTGATAAAAAAACTGTTCTTATTTGTCATATTTCTAAACTAAATAGGTATGTGGTATTGATGTTTTCAATTGCAGATTGTGGAGACACTTAACAACTATCTCGACATCACTACTGACCCAGCAACATTCATTCAGGTACCTATATACATGCATGCATGCATACATTTATACATAATACATCCGTATGTAAGCATGCATGTTTGCATAAATATTTACATAGCTTCAAACTTTTTCTTTAGATAATTTTGGGAAATTTTAGGTTACGTACCCATAAAAATGTATTTGTACTCTTTGTTTTAATAAAATTATTAGTGGACGTCATAGAATCACTCATCATTGTTATTCACTTTTAAACTGTCTATCTTCATGCTCAACGATTATGACATGACATTAGCATTCAATGTTTGAGTTACAGGAAAAGTAAAGTACTACTATAGTTAAAGTTTACGGTCTAAACTTACGCCTAATGACATTTTATTATTGTAGCAAGGCTGGTGTTTACGTTGTGGACCTCATATTACATTGTCAACGCTAATTTATTATGTTTCAACTTGATTGCATTGGAAAATCATCGTTCATATTAAGTGTAATATTTTTATTAACTATTGATTATCATTTTCAGGGAGCTATACCTCAAATGTTTGAGAGAACAAAAGATGTGTTTTTCTCTAACATAATTGGCCTTTTGAGAGAAGCCGCAGATCTTTTATACGAAATGGTGAAGGAAATTCCATGCCTTACTTGCCCAAACAAACCACAAGGATCTATGGTTGTATTGGTAAGGATTATCTAAAGCCTTTGTTTTGTGCGAGATTAAACTTGTTAATCCAAACATGCATTAGCTAAAACCAGTGGTAATTATTCTTAATCGTAATTAACAGGTAAAGCTAAATCTATCATCACTTGAAGACATTGATGATGATATACAGTTTTGTCTTAAGTTGGCCAAAGAGGAGTCGGTGATTGTTCTTCCAGGTAAAAATAATTGAAGACCTTACACACCATAATATTCGCAATCTAACAACATAACAAACTGTATATTGATGTTTTAATTTTCAATTAACAATTTCTCTAGAAAATAATTGTTTTATAATCAATATAATTGTGGCCTTGTTTGGTATAAAGGGTTCGATTGGAATGGATAACCCTTTAAATTCAAGGTATATTGAATGTAGAAGAGAATGATTTTACATTTCGAGAGAATTAGAAGAGGATTAGAATGAAAAACACTTCTCCGTTCTGATCCATCTCTTACCTTCAAGTTGGCATACCTTAGTAACTTATCTATTCCAATCTAATCCTCGTATACCAAAGGCGGCATGTAAGTCCACGATAAATGAAATTAATATTAGTCATGAATCAAAACCCATGGTTTTCAGGGGTCACGGTTGGACTGAAAGATTGGGTCCGCATACTTTTGCTGTGGAGCTTTCAGTACTTGAAGATGGATTTAAGAGGATAAAAGCCTTCCACCAAAGGCATGCCAAGAAGCTCTAACATGTCTTCTTTTATATTCACTGTCAAACCAAGTGTATGGTGCTCAGATGCTAATCGGCAACTTTCACATACGATCTCCAAATGTTACATTTTATAAATAAAATAAAAAATAAATTACGTTGTTATCTTTTATTTCTTCTTCTCATTAATTAAAATCTTATTTCTTTTTCATTTTTGATTGAGGTTCCTTGACTTTTCTTCATGTCATTATTTGAATATTAAATTATTTACAAGTCATTATATGTCAATTTAAAATTTTTTATTAATCATTTCAAATACAAACTTTTTAGTTTTTTTTTTTCATATATTTCTATTTATAATTTGTATCCGTTTTTTAATTTATATCAATATTCTTTTTAGTTTTAATTTGTACCCATAATTTTGAATTTTAATATGTACCCATATTTTCAATTTAATTTGTACCCATAGTTTTGAATTTTAATATGTACCCATATTTTTAATTTAATTTGTACCAATATTTTTTTTATGAACATAACCATGCTAATTATATGTGTTTATTTTATGTTTTAAAATATATCAATAGTTATTACTTGCACTATATTAATAATACGTGGGTACATTTTTTTTTTTTTTTTGCTAGAACTATGTGAAGAGCAAATTACTCTATTATTGATTTTTAAGTAATTGTTATATTTGTAATAATATTATTTGGATTTGTTTAAATTTCATAATTTGTGGGATATTGAATGCATAAATGCATGAGTTAAATCTCTTAAATGATGCTAGGGACTTGATCAAACTATTTAAACATATAAGGTTTTATTCTTAACAACTAGATTGATTAGGGGCTGAAATCAAAATGTGAATTTAGAAATGAGTGTTCTGTTTGTGACTTGCGATTATTTTCTCTATAACATATATTTTATTCAATATTAATTCATTATATACTTATACATGTTTGAAAGTGCTTCATAACTAAAAATGCTTCAGATCATGTTTGGCAAAAAAAAAAATAGAAGTGCTTGTTAAAAATATCATTTGAAAAGTGTTTTCTGGAAGAAACACTTGATTTTTTATTAAAAAATTCAATGCGCTTCTAATAGAAGTGCTTTTACTCTAGAAGTCCTTCTAAGGCTGATTTGGTGTTGCTTAATTTTTTTAAAGCAGCTTCATAAAAAGGTTAGGGTCTTAATTGTGTTTGGTAACTGAACAAAAATTATGGGTCCAAAATAGAAAGAAGAGGTAGCTCTACACATTCTTCTAAAAAAAAAAATTTATTTTTTATTGGAGGCATGTGAACAATACCATATTAATGAAACTTTCATTTTGACAATCTTATCACCATTTTTTTTTTTTTTTTGCTAAAAGCACTTTTAACACTATAGTATACCAAACACTCATCTGCTTTTATTAAGTAGCTTGAAAAAAACACAACTCCAAACTAGTCATGTAAAAGTGTTTTTAAAGAAGCAGTTATGAATGAGCCTTACTTCTTTTTTTTTTTTTTTTTAACAAACGATATTATCTACACTAAGAGGGAGATGGTGAGCTTCAAAATGGGTTAACAATAATTTAGTTCAAATTCGTATTTGACGAGAATCGAACCTAAGACATCTCCCTTACAAGTGAATGAGCCATACTTCTTTAAATCCATGAGTATTTATCATAAATAGCCAAAATTTGATACTCAATTTCATAAATATCAGTTTTTATAAATAATTTCTAATTTAGCCAAATCTACACTAAAAAAAACTCAAATACCCAGTAAAATAAAAAAACAATATAAACCTTAAAGTCTAAACCCTCTTGAGACAAAAGTATGAAATTGTGCTGATTCATTCACCAACAACAAAGTATGAAACTTTTGCAGGCTGATGAATGGATCTGGATTCATTGGGTAAAAATTGTTACCGGTGTATATGAACCTATTAATTCTGATCATATATATATTTTTTTAAGCCTAGCAAAGAAATAAAGCTCCCTTTGATCCAATACCCACCCATACCGCATGCAGAGCAACTGAATTCTATGGCTTATCACCGGAAAAATTGTCGGCAACTGGATTCCAAGAATTTGCTTCAGCTTTGGTGGGAAAGAAAATTACGCAAACCCGCATCAATGATAACTCATATAGCAAGGTTGGAATTACAACCCATGAAAGAGGCAGGGTTACTATTGTTAGTATTTTAGATATTTCTACGTAGGACGAAGCCAGAAATTTAACTAAGAGAAGGCATCTTAAAAAATTTGACCTCCTTTTTTGGACAAATAAAGCGAGTTCTTTTACAAATGCTGAAAAAATTAATTACAAAATGCCTAATTTTATTACTCTATTGTCTAATTTTATCTTTAATTTTTTACAATCCAATGCTCATTTGTACTAATTAACCAAATACATGCAACTCAACAAGGTTTAGACATTAGTACGTGAGAAAAATATACAAGACGGAGGGACATTTAAAAACTATAGCTATTGAGTTTCAGCCACCCTCGATTTATTTTGTTTATACGTATTACACGACTGGCTAATAGATAAATTTTCGGAACTATCGATCTTCATTTATTCAAGGTAGAGCCAGCATTTGAAGTTTCGAACGGAGCATGGGATCCAACGAGAAGTTGTTGATCACCGCCATCAACAAGTTAACTAATGTTTCTTGGCATGCCGTTGGCAGAAGGCTTTCATCCGGCCAAGGCCATCTTCGAGACATGAATGATCGCAAGCGAAGGTTACGCGCAACCAGTTCTTCATTCCCACAGCCACCCCTGCAAATAATGTTAACCGCGAGGAATTACAGCGAAGTTTATGTGCAATCTTCAACATATGATTCAAATTTGAGTCCTTGTAGTTGATCTCTGACTGTTTGATCAAGTGCTGAAATGATGTGTTTTGACATTCTTCGATTTGGTGTGTTGTTGCAGGTAAGAGAGATTGAAATCCGGTGTTCGATTTTGATGCATGCTAGTGAGTTTTGATTCTTACCAGGTAAAACGACAACAGATTCCTCTTCGGCAAGTTTAATGCAAAACTCCATATCATCACCAATGTCATCCAATAATTCGAGGTTTAGCTTCACCTGCATCACAAAATTTCACATCTTTTACGAATCACAGGCATAAAAACACACGCGTAAGCGCTCACGCTCGGGCGCACATATTTGTGTAATGCCCTTACCATTAGAAACATGGAACCCTCTGGTTTGCTTGGGCAAGTAATGCAGGGGATTTCCTGAAGTCTATCAAAACATATGTCCGCGCAACGTCTTAAAATCGCAATTATGTTTGAATAGAACTCCTCTTTGGTCTTCTCTAGAATTTGAGGAATTGCTGCCTGCATGCATAATAACTCACATTTTACAGTTTGAGCTCGGTTTAACAAGATACTACGCTTGTTAGAAAAATGATCCCATCTTGAGCTTTGGTTATTCGGCTCATAAACTGTAAATAAGCAAGCAAAAAAAGCAACTTGATTACAAAACCTGCATGAAGGTTGCAGGATCAGTTGTAACTTCAAGACACTCCGTTATGCGCTCAATTAGCTGAGGACAAGAACAAAGCAAAAACAGAGATTTGATTAATTACGCCATATATACTCCAACGTTATGATATATATATACACACACATACGTATGTATACAGAGAGAGAGAGAGAGAGACCCCAGAATTTTTAAGAGCGGCAGTGGGATCACAGGTGACAAGCCAACCAAGTCGCCAACCAGGTACGGTCCATCTCTTCGATATAGAACCAAGCGTAATAACTGGCACAGTAGCTGCAAATGCCGCCATTGGCACAAACTTGGTACTTCCAAAAGTAATCTGCTCATAAACTTCATCAGCAATTACCAGAATCCCAAGCTTCCTCGCTTTCTCCGCAATCTAGAACTCCACCAAAATCAAAACTAGTAATTATCTTTTAGTTAAAATCTTTATTTCAAACCACATTATGAACCGTCTCACTGGTGTATTTGTTGGGAGCCTGAACCTTATAACTAGAGATGTGGTATAAGAAACACAACACGCACGAATTACCTTGATGTATACACACATTAGGACTAGAATCCTTAGATTAGCAAGAAAAACTGAACAAGTAGTAGTTCGCGTTAGAGCAATTAACCAACCTTCTCCAAGTGTTGAGGTGAGTGTACATTTCCACAAGGATTGCCAGGATTGATGATCACCATGGCAACAGTATTTTCATCCGAAAGTGCTTCAACAGCTTCGAGATCAACCTCCCAGCCCTTGTCCGGAAGGAGATCATAATGACGGACTTCGAGATTGGAACAGGCCGCCCGAACATCATAGTAAGGGAAGCCTGGCCTCGGAACCAAAATGTTGGCACCCGGACGTGCAAGAGCTTCTATGATGACTTCAATCGCATTTGAACATCCAACTGTAAGATAAACATCGTCCGGTGATAGGTTGTACGGGAGGTCATGGGAGAGGTAACCAGCAATGGCCCTGAACGTTGCATTTCCGGCATCAATTTAGTAACTAGAGTACGTACTAATTAATTTGAAATGTTACTTGAACAAGTGTATAAATAAACACATCATGTATACGTGACAGAACGAAATACGTATAAATTATGTAACTACTTGTAATTAGGCCAAATCAGAGATCATCAATACATATCAAGGTATCACTCTCCCTCAGGTGCAGCGTAAACCTTCATGTGGGAATCAAGTTAAGATTTGAGGTTTCAAACACAAAATATGTTGCGAATGCTGGTTTGGTATTATTGTGCTTTGAAAAAAAATTGTTTCTGTTGTGCTGTGAGAATAAGCTCATTTTTGCTGTTTCACCTTTTTAGCTGTTTTTTCACCTAAAACTATGAAAATAAGTTGTTTTTAAGTGTTTACCAAACAACTTTTTGAGCTTAACTTTTTTTTATACCCACTTTTTATAAAATCATCGCCGGTACTAAATTTGATTAAATTACACGGTTAAACAACTATTGGACTCAAAAGTTCAAACTGTTAACCCGACAAGCGCCTAAATTTGATTAATTTTGATTAATTTTCAAACACACAATAGCCAATCGCCAAGCGTCTAAGCCAACAGTGTCGATGAGACCCCCAATATTCGTTTGACAGATTTAGGAATTAGGTATGATAATTTCTTGTATGACCCGTTAATCCGACAAGAAACAACACGAATCGTCAATATCGGATAACTTATTAAGAATCATTAAGATAACGAGTTTAACTCAACACGATATATTGAGATATCGATATAAAACAAAAATGGCAAACACGACCAGTTTGACAGGCTTAATCTAGACGCAACAAAGCTTCATAGAATTAGAACTTTAAACAAAAAAAAAAAAATTAGGTTGCAGAAATTGTTATCAAAGTTGACTTGTGTATATACCTTCTTGCCGGTAGAATACCAACGGTGGGAGAGTAAGAGTTATAGCGGGCGGAGCGAAGGGCGTCGACGACGGCGTCTTCAGCTGCAGCACTAGTTCGGAAGCATGGGAAGGCGGAGGGGTCACCGTGACCAAGAGGAATGATTGGCCTGTCGTCATCTTTGTTGAGACTTCGCATTATCATGTACAGGATTCCTCGAACTGTGATTGGTGGTGATGCCGTTTTTTGCTCTCCATGGAAATTCCCCTCAAAATTCCACTTCTTCTTCGACTCTTTCTCCACCATTTCGATCGTTAATTGTTGGTGGGGGTTTGTGAATTTGAGGTATGTACTCAACGTCTGTTATTTATTTACAGGAGTGTGATATCTACCCATTCTTTTGTACTTCTTTCACTGTCTTTTTAGTTTTCGACCGTCAGATTGGATGAATTGAAGATGATCAACGGAGATGAATTAATAAAAGGGTGTATAAAAAGTAAAAAGGGGTATATAGATAGCACACCCTTATTTGTAAATGAAACATGTTAAATTTAAATATCTTATGCTGCAAATTTAATATCAATTTATTTTTATAATATTTAATATAAATAATGTTGTATAAAAAAAATAATACTAGGAAAACTTAATTCGTATACCAAATTTTATAAACTAAATAATATGAAAAATGATGATTGAATTATAATTTAAACATTGATAAACATGCTCATTCATATTAACCACATATTATATAATTTGTGTAGCATTACCTATAAAATAAATCTGTCTTCTCGAAATTATTTTGACTACGTCGTTCTAGCACTTGCCACATGAATTCAATAATTAATTCGTTCTTGACACATACCAAAGATGTGATTCCTCCTTGGCACAAAAGTACAAAACATACCATGTTTGATTCCATTTTTCTGTTCCTATCAAACCGCTTGCAACACATGTTGGATGTATTTGTTAATCGTGAGTCAATGTTAGGGAAAAAAGAATGTAAGATACTTCAAATACTAGGAATCCTTTTTTAGAAGTAATACAAGAAAATTACCCCGTATTGAACAAGGATTGTATATGTATATATTTCAAAAGAAGTAATACAAGAAAATTATCTTGTAAAATTCTATTGTATTAATCAGTAAGAAAATGAAAATAGTGTTAACGGTGATTGAATTAACGATAAATAGAATTTTGAGTTTCTAAAAAGTACTTTGATAAAGAAAGAGGATTTTGGTTTGAAATTTTCTATGAAAATCGGAAGTACCAAATATTTTATATTTTTAACTGTTACATCTTTAATTAATAATACAAATATTAAGATCTAATGGTTAAAAAATCTGAAATATCTCATACTTAGAAAACATCCTTGATTTAGTTCTTCACCTTAACCATAGAAAAATGATTGATCAAATCATAATGATAAAAAAATCTTGTTTTGAAATGGATTGAACAACAACCGGGACCAATTGATTTATTACACTTAGTTATTAATATTGGTTTAATTTGCAGGCCATTGGGAGCTTCTTAATTGATTTATATATTTAGCGAAGTCAAAAATGTTGTCTTGGTCATGAGGATGATTAAGAAATGAATGGTTGCCCTTCCTTAGACTTGACGTGATCTTGCTCCTTTACGATGACATTATGTTGTCTTTTCTCTTTAGCAATGACCAGTGTGGTGGCCGGTAAAAGTTTGTTGTGTCGATTATTTTTTTGGTGACAGATAGGTATTAGTGGCATTTACATGTTTGTGCTTGTGGTGGCCATATAGAAGTTTAATTTGTTAGATTGTGTAATTCACTCAAAATCAATTTCTTGGTTTGTATTTGGTTGTGTTGATGAATGAAAACTAGCGAGAGGAAGAAGCAATAATTAAGAAACCTAAACATTAGCACAAACAATTACAAAGCGTAGAGATAAATTGGTATTGTCCAAGGTTAATTAACGGATCCAACCATTATCAACCCGACTCGATCAGGTATGACCTAAAACCGTAATTTTCGCCGGTTTTGTGATCGTGTTTAAGGGTCGGGTACATCTTGCCAAGTCCAGTCCGACTATTTTTTTTGTTTACTTTGCTCAAATCATGTCAAATTTCTGTGTTAATTTTTACGGTAAATGAGAGTTGTTCCGAAACAAAAAAGAAACGAAGGACGAAATATAAATCGTGGATCAACTAAGCCCTCTTGGGGACTTGTTTAAGAATAAGAAAGAGGAATTTCATGTAAAATACCATTGAATAAGGTTTGATCCTATTCATGGGGATTCTATAAAAATTCCATTCCAAAAAAGAGAGTTGGAAACAATTGGGATTTTTCGGAGATTGGATGCAGTTACTAATTCATGATCTGGCATCTCGATTCAGCCGATCTGGCATGGATAATCTTTAAAAGAAGAATGTCCTCAACTTCCTTAAAACATACTTAAATTTCTATGTCCTCAACAGTACATCAAAACATTTACAAATGACAGAAAGAAAAGGTCTCGTAGCATGTAAGTTTATAGGTAAAATGTTGCAAGTGTTACAAGTCAACAGAAGCAGATCTTCACGGGAAATTTATTGATAAAATACCGACATCGGAAACCATTTTTCATGCATAGATGATGATCATTCACCTCCCACCTGCCTCTTCCACGAGTCTTCCACAATCAACTCATCTACTCCCCAATCTTCGTAACTGAAAATTTTCAGACCCGATTAAAATGTTTCTAAAACACATGCGAAAGCAAAAATACAATGCTTAGAATGAAGATAAACTAAAATCAAAACCGCACCTTCCATCAGGCAGGTAGCGGCGAATGGTGAAGGGCACCTTCCGCTCACGAAGCTCCTTCATAGCAATCTACACCATCATAACATACGAGGTCATACCAGTGTAGTGTAAGGGAACCCTATGTATTGTATCATTACATTACTAAACAATTGGAGCTCTCACAAGTCAGATTAGATAACATAATTTCTTTTTCCGCTTAAAGAAATAACTAATATGTTTTCTCATGTTCTATGGAAAATCATTCTCAACATGATATACGGAGGATGGTATCCTAATATTATCCAGAAAGACAGGGATCAGTTTTCTGTAGAAGCAAAGAAAGCCAAAAGTAGAAAGAGAAAAACTGAACATCAAAGTAAAGTGCAATTAGATGCTATATCAAGATAACATGCACATTGTCACAAGTCACAACAACACACAATTTCTGGCCATTTTCCGTTAGTCAGACAATGGCACATGGTACAATAAGATACTATAAGGTTTGGCCGTTCTTCGATTTTAACTCTTAATTTATAAAAACTAGTTGTTTTAGAGGAATGTGGAAGAAAACAATAGCGGAACAAAAATCCAATATGCAAGCACTTGTTCTGTGCATGTAATAGAGCAGGTTAACATGGTAACTGTTCTATCCAATACACAAGCACTTGTTTTGTGAACGCAAAGTGAAGCAGCAGGTTAACATGGTAACAGTTCTACTTTCTAGGCATCGATTGATTCCAGTATCCGAGCATAAAATATAGGTGCAGGAAAATGTTACCTCAAGCGGGTCAGTCTCACCCTGCAACTCAACCATCACAGGGGCATTCATGCTGCTCATCCAAACCATACAATCTCAATCAATTTCCAATTCAAATCAATCAACAACAAAGATTCAAAATTGAAACTGAATAGAAATATACCTGATCTGCACAGCACGAGTACCCAATATTCTAGCACGTTCATATTTGGTCATAAATTTGGATGTTCTTCGCGGTCGTTCCACCGGTGCTTCTTCTTCTTTGTCATCAACTTCAATGGCATCGCCTGGAAGATCATCGTTAGCATTCTCCGCATCCTCTACCTCCTCTGCGCCTTCCTGTCCATTATCCAATTATTCTTCTTCAAATTTATTTTTTATGCAACGATATTTACACTAAAAGTGGGAAATAAATTGGTATCGAATTCACAATCCATGAGATTCAAACCTAAAACCTAGGACCCTAAACCCTAAATACCACTAGACTGTATTACTATATCGCAACTTCAAATTTATTTCTTTAATTTTTTCAATAAAATACAAACTATGAATCCAGTCAATTTGTTAATCAGAGATTTTAACAGCAATCATCATAAAATTGAAAGAAGCAAGAGACAAAATTAAAGTAAGATCGTTACCTCAATCTCTGGCTCTACCGGCTCATCCTCGTACCCGATGTCCATATCATTGTAATCTTCGTCCGCCATGGTTACTTGGTGATTTCTATGTGCCGCTGGAGAAAGAAGAAGCAGCAGCAGAAGCAGCTGGAGGCGTCTTTCAAAAGCGGAGGAAGGGACTTCGACCTTATTATATCAGAATTTTAAGTAGGTCAATAAAATACCTATACGGTCAACGATGATAGATGTAAAAATATTACATTTAATGGACGGTTCACCGTGAAATTTTTAACAATTCATATGAATCACACAAAAATGAACGGTTTATTATGAGGATACTACCTATTACTCAAACGGTTGGTTCATTTTACACATACGGATAACTAAACGATCTTAAACTGAATAATTTTTTGCAGGTATGATCTTTAGATGATGATAAAGAGAATGAACGATTCTGATTATGATGTCGTCCACCAATCATTCTGTCGTCGTTGATAAGACTGAGCCTCGATTGACGAGCAGAAATGCTCACATCATTAGTTTTGATTATGGTCACCATTGTAAGGCCGGATTAGGCAGTTCCGATTATGGTCACCGTTATGAGGGCAGATTAGGGCCTTAGGGTTTAGAAAAACAAAATAAAGGACGAATTGGGATTAAGATGCATTTTTTCCCATTAAGTATGAAAAGAAATTAAGTAAACAATAAACCGGTGTTAAGTACAAAAGAACTCATCATTTTATTCAAATAAGAAGCTTTGTTTGTATGAGTACATTGTTATCTATCCTTCTTCAGCATGCAAAATAGACAGGAACAACCACAAGGTCCACAACCACGAAAAATTCCAAGACCACAATTTCCTCGAGGCGCAGTTTGAGCCTGAGAGTGAAGCTGATGAAGTCGATATTCTTGGTTCAGTAAGAGTGCGTGAAGTTGATCAAACGTTGGAAGGACTGATCGTGTAGGGATGAACCTCGTAAAAGATTCATAACCATCACCCAAACCGGCGAGAGTGAAGCGAACAAGCTCAGAATCCGAGACACGATTCTGAATGGCTGCGAGGGGATCTGCAAGTGTTTTGATCTTGTCAAGGTAATCACAGATGCTAGAGTTGCCCATGTCGATGGTTTGAAGTTGAAGTTTGAGATGGAGTGCCCGAGTCATAATCTGCGGATGAAATTTTTTTTCTTGAGAGCCCGCCACACATCTTGAGAGGTAGTCAAGCCAAGAAACTCTGCCAGGATCGGTTCAGAGGGTTGCGCAGATCCCAGAAAGTTAATCTGTAAGGCCAAGTAGAAATACAAGAAACTGCAAGCATCTCATTTACTGCATCATTATAGAGAATTAATCAATGCTTGGAATGAAAGACACGAAATGATTGAGGTTGAATGTGACTCTGCCAAAGGCACAGCAATATCTCTTGAAAACAAAATGCAGATGCTCACTGCATGCATCCTACAGTTGCCTGCAGATGGAATATCATCTCCTAAATGGCTTAAGGTGATACTTTTGGAACTCTGATCCAAACGAAATAGACTCTTCATCGAGTTTCTTCTTCAATCTTCGCCAAGTTCTCAACATATCAGATTGTATCAACCCTTTGTAGAGTGTCTCAAAAGTAATCTTCTGAGGAAGAAGACCCTTCTCTATCATCTCCACAAAGAACTGACAAGCCTCCCTCCACTTCTGTTTTGCACATAACCCATGAATCAACATAGTATACGAATCCAAATCTGGTCCCACCCCACTCTCTTTCATATCATTCCATATTTCTTTCACAATCTCCATTCGATTCAATTCCAAAAGCATTCCCACCAATATGTTATAAGTGTGCATACTGGGCACGCAGAAACCATCCTCCTTCATCTTCCTGTACAACTTCAAAGCACCTTCCCCGTTCTTTCTCCCCCTGTACTCTTTGAAGAAACAATTATACGTAGCTGCACATGGACTAACCCCACTTCTCACCATCTCACCAAGCAACTCCTCTGCATCCTCAAGTCTCCCGCACGAGCAAAGACACTTTACAACTGAAGTGTAAGTTTCCACTGTGGGGAATATCCCTCTCTCCCTCATCAGCTTCAGCTTATCAAGCGACAACTCGGGCTTATGTGCCCGGCTATAAACATGAAGCACAATCGAAAAACTAGTGACATCGGGCTCAATCCCTCTCTTCCACATTTCCTCAAACACCTTCTCTGCATTCCTTATCGTCTTCTCAAACCTTTCCTGAGGGTGCAAACTCGCACGCCTACAAATACCATTCAGGAAGACATTATATGTAACGACATTGGGCTCAATACTATGCTCAATCATATCCCTCAAGAATCTCTCTGCCATATCGAAACGACCAATCTTACACCACCCATAGATCAAAACAGTGTACATTTTGACATCAGGGACAAACTCATGCTTCTTTTTGTTAAAAACTTCTGTTGCAACCTTAACATGACCGTATTTGCAAAGGGTATCAAGCAAAAAGCAAAAATCTTGGCTACTGGGCTTGGTTTGGACGAAGGTTTCAATGTCGTCAAAGGCCCGAATGGCTTGGCGGGTGAGGCCAGAGGAGATCAATCGGCGAATTAGGGTAAGAAATGTGGTGGCAGTGGGAGTGAGGTTGAAGTTGTCCATTTCAACAATGAGCTGCCAAGCGACGTCATACTGACGGACCTTGGCAAGGATGTCAATGAGCAGGTTGAAGGAGGCAGTGGTGAGAGGAGGGTTGGGGAGGGACTTGGCATAGTGGAAGAAGGCAAGGGCAATCTTGGAATTATTGGTGAGACGGAGGAGGGTGTGGTGGACGAGTTGGGAGGAGAGAGTAATACCGTGGAGTTGGAGAGAGGACTCCATAGCGTGGAAGGGATTATGGTGGTGGACAAGGATTTTCGATATCAACTCAGCATCATTAGCGTCCTTTGTGTCTCCATTTGGGTCATTAAGGTTGGGGAATGAAGAGCAGGAACGACGGATTTGAACTGAATGGAAACTACCATGAGAGGAGAATAACTGGAAACAACGCAAGGACGAGCAAGAGCGACTTTGTGCTGAAAAAATCATCCTTAGTCCTTACAAAGATAAATCTACCTTCCTACCAGTTGGGTAATGAATAAAATTATCAGCCAGCTGAGCAAATTGAGTACACTTTCTACAGATGCAACACCTGCCAATGTAAAAGAAACAAATCAACAAATTAATTTATCCCACTTCCAGTAAGAGAATACCGATAGTCATATAGGAACACGTATAATTTATGAAGCTCCATCTCCATGGCATAGTTCCTATGAAAAATGCTAAACTGTTGGACCTAGCATACATTTTCGATTGTAAAAGATAAAATGCATTACTCAAATACTCAGCTGCCAAGCTGATCTTTACTCCCCAAAATTTTAAGATGCCACAGCTATAAACCAGACAACCAAACGTGACACAGATCGTCCTAAATAAGAATACCCTCGAAAAACATTACGTCATAAGTTCATTTCTCCATCTTTTATGTTGCTATTTTTTTCACAAGGTTCTCTCACTACTCTCTTTGCATTGCAACCTGTTTGCTTTTCACCATATCAAAGTTCGAATTCTTGGGCTAATACCATCGCCACTGGGATGGTGGTCTAACATTCTCATGTCCCACATCTGCCAATCAAACCTACCAAAAATTCATTACCACCCAATTAACTGGTGCCGCCTCGACTGGTACTGTAAAAGCTCTAAAACATGTGTTTGTATTGAAGGAAAGGATTATGCAATTAACTTTTGAGAAGGGATTATGCAAAGGTCCTAATGCAAAACTTGATTTCACCCCTAAAACAAATTAAACCCCGATTCCTAAGTTCCTAACCCTAAAACTTAACCCTCCAACTTGAAAATCCCCAATCTAAAATGAAATTAAGGTACAAATGAAACTTGAAATTAAGTAAGATAAATTACCTAAGCAAGAATTATAGATCAATTCCAAAACTAATAAGAAAAAAGAGACAAAAACACTGATAAGCCAAACACACCCAAACGGCGTTGTTTGTTCCCTGCTCTAGCTCTGCAATTTGCTTCAACGTGACGAGTTCCCCTTCAAATTATTTGGGTCAGCTTTCTCCAAGTGGAGTGGAAGCAAGCCCAGAATGACGACCACGACCCTGTCGTCGAAGCTCTAGTTACACAGACAGACTGAGGAGCACCGCCATGGTTAGTCGACGCGGACGGCGAAGACGAGGCCATCAATTTTTCTTTTCTTTTTTTCTTTCTTTTTGGTAGCGGACGACATCGTTTTTGGGATTCGTTTGATGTTTTTCAATTTTGAGTTTTTGGCTTTTGATCTTTAATGTTCACTTCTTTGGAAAAATCTGAATTTTATTCAGTAATTTTGATATAAATACCGAGCACTGTTCTAAAAATTCTCGCCTATACGCTAGGTGGCTGGTCACCGTTCCAATTAATACCTAGGCGTTTGAAAATTAAGAAAACCGTCTAAATTGCAACTCATTTAGACAGAAAATAGATAACTTCAATTTGCATTTTATTTTTTTAATAAATTGTAAGAGACTTGTTAAATACTTAAATGCACACACATTATATGTTTGTTCCCCATGTTTTCATTATGTATACTTCATAGTACATATGTCATTCTATTTTGTAGTTTATGATGAAATTATATATTTTAAGTATAAATCGATACTTATTTACACGAAATATAATGGATCTACTTAAATCCGTCTAGACCTCGTCTGGTCGCCTAGGCCCTAGGCTTCAGCCTGCTGTCCTACTAGCGTCTTTTAGAACTTTGATACCGAGTAATTATTTTTATTTAAAAAAAAAATCAAAAAGTGAAAATTTTATAAAATTAGAGAAAATTCACTTAAATTTTGATGTACTTGGTGCAAGTTCGATCTACATCGATCTTCCTAATTTAACAACTAATAATTTAATATACTACCGCTACGTTTGTAAAATCAAAAACCAAATCAACAGTGTTGACACTTCTCTTTTGTTTATATTTTTGTATTCATATTTAGGTGAAGTCCAAAAAGAGAAAAATCAAAATATAATGAGGGAAATGATAAAGAAGCTGCCGACCCAGACCCGGTCCGGAACTTGGGAATCCACCCGAAGCTCTAAATCAAGTTGAAAGAAGGGACTTGGGAATCCACCTCGTCGTCGTCCTCCTCCTCGACCTCGAGTCCTCCTCCGTCTACACTCCTCAACTCTCCCGAGCTAGCGAGGCCAAAGCTCCCCCTTCCTCTTCCTGGGTACTCCCTCTCTCCTCTCTTTTTCCCTCCACCTGGGAATTGAGATTGTTCTTAAATCTACCACTGTGTCTAGTATTTAATGCAATTTTGGAGTGAGCTTTGTAATTCTGAATTTCTGAGTCTGCATTGTATTGGACTGAGCTTTGTAATTCATATTCTTCTTTCTTTCTACCTCCAATTTTAGTATTTAATGCTCCGACCTAAAGTATTATGCTTTGAAATTGCTTCTATCAACTTGTTTTACAGATTTGATAAAACTCCGCAACTTGTTCTTCAAATTTTACCTCACTGGTTTGCCCTCGGTTACAGACCGCCATGGCTTCGTTGTTTAAGGTAAATAAATTGCTCCATCCCATTCGGGTGACTTTAAATTTGGCGCTTTTATTAGATAGCGTTTGCCACATTGTGTCCTAGGCTGTTTCACGCGTTTTTTTTTTTGAACTTGTTGTTCAGCGTTTAGCGTCTTTTTGTTTTGTCATTAGGACCAATCAAAGCTTTCCCAGTACCGGGATAGAAGGTTTCCGGGGTCACAGGAGGAATTTGAACAAGCGCTCTTGGCATCGACAACGGTTTACATTGGAAATATGTCCTTCTATACGACAGAAGAGCAAGTTTACGAGCTCTTCTCTCGCGCTGGGGAAATCAAGAAGATAATTATGGGCTTGGATAAGAACACGAAAACGCCTTGTGGTTTTTGTTTTGTCCTGTAAGACTTCATTCCTTCTTCTTCATATTGTTAATGTCTTGTAAGGAAAAAGTTTAGGGGTTATTAAGAGACAATTTCAAATTAACTGATTGGCGTCAGTTACCTGAGGTTGTGGTAAAGAGAGGCGGTACTCCCACCCCCATTCCTGTTGTTGCTTAAACTATGGCTAGCAAGTGTCAACCCTCATATTTTGTCGAAGTGCACATTGTACCTGCCCCAAATTGTCTGATCTTTTGTTTTATCATTAGAAGCTCGTCATATGTTATGATTTAAATTGATTGTGTGATGCTTCAGAAGTTTATCATTTCTTAGCAGTCTTTGTCAAGATATGTGTAGCATGTAACTTGGTCCTGTATGTTGAGAATTAGTAAAAGGCACATTTTCCCCCTTTCTGAGAGTTAGATGCTTAATCCGTATGCATTTATTAACAGATACTATTCTCGAGAGGATACTGAGGATGCTGTAAAGTATATTAGCGGGACTATTCTTGATGATCGCCCTATTCGTGTGGATTTTGATTGGGGATTTCAAGAGGGAAGGCAATGGGGTCGTGGGCGAAGTGGTGGACAGGTTTATTACTCCGCCTTCTTGTCATGGGAAAAATGTACCATTCTGATTGTTTTGATTTTATCTTCTCTGTTTTGCAGGTGCGCGATGAGTATCGTACTGATTATGATCCTGATATCCTTTTGATTAGTTTGGAATGTCTGGAAAAGCTTTCTTTAGTATGGTTTATAGATCATAGTGTTGCTCATTCCTCTGAGATTAAAAATGGTGCCAAGTTTTTATTTTTCTAGCAAATCTAGTTAGATTGTCCATGCTAAACTTATATACACGTTTCCCTTTGCATTCAATTTCTATTCAAGTTATTTTTCTATCATGGTTTCTGTTTCACAAACTTAAGAATTGTAAGGAGTGGTAGGTAGAGCATGTTGTATATGCTTTAAAACTGTGAAGGGCTATATATTCTACTTAGAGACTATTTACTGGGTGGATAAATTCTTGTAGATTGTGCTTTCCTGTGCCCCTGTACCTACTTAATTTTAGATTATGAATGCGATGGATATTAGTTCATCAATGGGTACTTTATGGCACTACTATGCTGCCGTAAATTTATGGACTCATGTCGTCTTAACTTTTCCAAATTAGAACATTTTAACTCGGTCAACCTATCTCCCGTTGTAGCTATATCTATTGTAATTACTGTTTGGTTTCACAATTCTTTTGTGGATGGACATCAAGTATATACCTTTTCCCCCTCTACTATATGTTTTTTTTTTTATCTTTATGTATTCTCTAGCAGCTATTTTCTTATTTTATTTTTTTTGTAAAGCTTATCTACATATTTTTATTTGTCACCCAAGTAACCGTTTAATCTATTGATCCCACTTTGTTAGAGTTGCAGAAAGAAGATATAAACTGTGTAGGTCTTTGCGGCTTAAATTTTATGTGACATTCAGTCCGAGTAAACCACTTCTCTTTTTCTTTTCTTATGATGTGCTTAGAATTAATTTATGCTATTAACTTCAAAATCATTCTGGTTCATGTGTTTGAGTTGCTCTGAGTGCCCTTTTTTTTATTTGACTTGTGGCGTTTCTGTTCACTTTCTGGTTGTGAAGCATTTTCTATTTAAAAAGTACAGCACTTTCAAAATTTAAAGCAGGTGATGGATATTTAGTCTACATTATCGAATACGAGATGAAAAAAACGTTGTCCTTTGTTTCCTTAATATGCTATACGTAGAGGTGGATATGGTAAGTTAGTTCAAAAAGAGTTGGAAGCTCAAAGAACGCTTGTTGATTATGGAACTGGATCATTGGGCTCTTTCCCACCAGTCATGCCACCTCAATGTAAGTTACTTGAAACTATTTGATCTATTTCTAGCTTTAAACTGCATGTATAGTTCAAGGGATTAGGATATTTTGCTGGAGCGGTTGTCTTTGCTTTTATAATTGCATTAGGATTTTAGAGTAGGTTGATTGCAGGTGCACTGCGTAATGCGTACTGACAACTGCATCCTTAGGAAAGGACCTAACCTGAAATGGTGCAGCTAAGCATCCTCCAGATGGAGAGCGGACCTAACCTAACGGGAAATTTCTTAGCTTTATAAGCTGAAATGTCTTGTAGAAGCCATTTTAGGTCAAACAACTTATCATTGCGTTGTGAGCTATAGGAATAGGCAACGCACCCCAGTTGTCTCCAACCACTACTGATTAGAATAATCTGGGTATTGCCACTTTAATGACTCCAAATTCACTCAATTATTACCTATTCACTAGTGCAGACATGATCGAAAAGTCACTCAATTATTGAAATATGTCTCATTTCTCTAGCATTTTGGTGTCTCGTATTTGGAAAATTTGAATAGCCAGCAAAAAGTATGGTTCAAAGGAAAACTTAGTGCTTGAAATTATAGACATTGGATTCATATTGCAAAACAGAAGTGAGGTGGAATTTGGGTGGGGTGGGGTGGAAGAATTACTGATCTGTGTGTCACGACTGCAAATAGAACCTGTAACTTCACGCATTGCATCAGGATTGAATGCAATTATCTGAAGGGACAACAAACTTTTAGTAGCGAGCCTGTTGAGATACATAACTGTTTGCTATGGTGGTGTAAGTTTAATCTAGTGTATTAATAAACATGATAGAGTTCCTCTTTTAACGCTTTTGAGTTTTAAATGGTTCAGATGGTAGACATGGTGGAGGTCCGAATCATGGGGGTACTCATCGGCCTCGTAGAGGTATCTATTATTAAAAATATTTGTATGATTGGTGTACTAGATTTGTGCAGTCGTTTCTGCCGGTATTTGTTTTACCACTCTTTTGAACAACTGATTTAATTTGATACTTTTTCGCCAAAGCAGATTATCCTAGGAAGCGGTACCGAGATGATGACCGCCAATCATATGACGACTCAAAGAGAAACTCGGATTATGAATCGCAGAAGAACTCCGATCACGAATCTAGACCAGTAATTTCTAACGACTCACGTCCCAATTTGTTTTGAATTCTCTTATTTATATGGTATTTGCAATTGCCAACCTGTTTGCCATGCAATGTAACATCGTCTCTATGACCGAAAGAGTTCCAGTTCACATGTGTATTGATGTTCCTGTTTCATCTCTTTCGTTGAAATGGCAACGCGGGGGCAATTGTACATTCACTATTGAAACCAAAAAGTATAAGGACGGGCGTTTTAATTGATATATTTTTTATTTGCTGCAACAGGAGAAAAATCCACGGTTTCGTGAGAGTGGTGACTCAGATGACGATGAAGATGAGCAAAAGCGGCAAGCTTAATCAGAATCCACAGCCGGGGATGGATCAGTGGACTGACACTTTACGGCAGATAGAATTCAACGGTGTCCAAATCGGAATGTTAACTTAATTCTGCCCCAGACAACTTGAAGACATGATCATCTTTTGTAGATTTCATTTCTTGAAGGCCTAGTTTTTGCACTTAGTCGTGCACAGGAGAGGAATCAATTACGTATATGTTAGTATTTGCATGGATTCGATTACGCTCGAGATAAGGAGATTGAGAATGAACATTTTACCAGTCATTCTGAAAAGCTACAGTTTTTTTTCGATATGTAGCCTCAAATGATTATTATTTCATGTACCTGTTACTTTGGCTGCTATTGCTAGTTTGCGATATCTAGCCTCAAATGATTCTCGAATGATTTATTATTCCAAGTCAGTGAAAGATCTTTCTTGATAGATCCTTCCGTTTTGAGCAAAGTTTACCGGAGAAGGTTGGTAGTCAATCGTAGATCAGCGGGTTTTGGTCGCCAGTGAACATGTAAGGGATGTCGTCGAACGGGTATCCATCCCGGGATGTGGAGTGTGTGCCGGAGAGCGAACACGAGAACACCAAGATATAAGGGGTTCGACGATGTTCTTTTTACGTTCAAGGACATCAATAAATCACTTTCGCTAAGAGAGAAATTAACTTATACAAAACTAATGCTCAAATCTTAATCTGGTTTTCCCATTGAGAAATGAGGTTATGGCCTCCTCCTATTAAGAGTGGAACTTCAATGCCGTGGCCTGTGGAGCCTGGTAGTCGGACATTGACTCGAGCCATTTTTCTTAACAAACAAGTGGGAGAGGCAGGATTCGAACCTACATAGATAAATTTCAACAAAATTTACAGTATGTCGCTTATAACCGCTCTGAAAGGTCAACCCAACTCTAACTGTACAACTTGAGATCGGGTTTCATTAGGTTGCAAAAATAATATGAACCCAACCAAACCCAATGTGAAACGAGTTGACTTGGGTTTGGGTTTGGGTTTGGGTTCCGGTTCCGAGACTTTCTTTGGTTGAGCTCAACTTCATACTAACATATTATGTCGAAAACTTAGTAAACAAAGTGAAATTCTTCACGATTGTCTCCATCGTTTCAAAAGGGAGATTTCACAAATTTGAAGAGTTCACAGATACAGCGAAAAGGGTATACGAATAATTAAAACTAAAGTAATACAGAGTCATGTTACACAATCAACAGTCACTGAATGCAGTTGCTAAAAACATGCTTCCAAGAAAAATATGGCATTCATCAAAAGATACAAACTCTCCAGACATTTGTTGGGCGAACCGGACTTAACTAGTTATCTTCTCTGTAGTCTGGATTCTCTTTCAGGATAACGAACCCTTCCAAGATGGGAGACAGGGGGATATACCTGTAACAAATAAACAATTGTTAGCGTGTCATAGCGGTAAAACAGCAAGTCAGTGAAACACAAGCTCCACAGGGAAAAATTCCTACTTTTCAGTAGCCAGCTCCGCTCTATCACCCGCAGCAAGAAGAACCGGTGTTGAGTGGGTCTGGAAACCCGTGATCGTTTTGGGACGACCAGCCTGGCCAACCACATCAACAGCTTGTCCCACTCGAACAGGGACTGACAGCGGTTTGAGATTCTCGTCCACAGTCAACAACATTCTCGGCTAGCACAAGAAAAACAATTACCAATAGTGAGAAAGACCAAATCTAATTACCGGGGAAAGCAACGTATAAAGAAGAAAGTGTTCAAACACCAACCTGCATTGCCAAAGTAATAAAGTAGAGAATGTAATGATATTTCCCCAGAATGATGGCTTTCATATCAAGACATGCATGCAGCACGGTAACGATTCCAGCAAGTGCCGTTCTGTAAGTAGAAAGATAATTTATACATGTTAGACTAAGCCACCGAGAGCCATTCTGTCGGTAGTAATGACAAGGGTGTATTTGCAAACAAGGTTACTCACGGTGATAGCAAGAAGCGATCAGAATGGTATGGATTCAGAGTTAACAAACCCTTTCCTAAATGAACAAGACCTTGAGCAATTCGCACCTGCAGACAGTAGCCGAAGATATATATAACCGCAGGCTGGAAAACTCAAAAGGAAAATGAAGGAACATAAAGATAGGACTCGAGATGTATTACACAGAAAAGAAGGCTGGCATCTTTGTAGTAATAACTTGAAAGATTGCGAAGCATGCCAGCTATTCTAGCGTTGTTGGTTCCCGCACCTAGCAAACCTAAGGAAATCACTGCAGCCTGAAGAATCCAAATGGAATATTAGACACTTACTATGAAAAATATGCCAACAATGGAGATATTGAATGATGTAATATGTTACCATTGCTACTTCTGAATCCGTATCGTGGCTAAGCCTGCTTAATGTGTCCATAACGTTGACCTGGAGGAAATAAACAGTAAGAAAGGCAAATATAACCCAAGTAGCCTAACTTCCCAATATAAAATCACTAGTCAAGATAAGTATTTCAAAAATCACTGCTCCATGTCTATTCCAACTCTCAATACATGAATGGTTAGATTTCAAGGGCAGCTGAGCTAGCATTGGAAGTAAAAGTTTTACTTTTAAAGGCTTTATAACTGTCACAATGGACGTAACCAGATTAATACCTTTGGATTTGATATGCAAAGGAGACCAAGTGCCAATGGAACTGCCCGACGTATATTTTGTTCTCCGTACTGTAAAAGATGCTCTAATGAACGAATCGCCATTTCAACTCCCAATTCTTCAGCCATTGATATCATAGCAATTCCAAGAACTGCGGGTCCCTGGTGAGTTTCATTCTTATCAAGATGTTGTGAACAATGACCGAGAAGGTTTTGGACCTGCATGAGAAAAGAGTTCCCAACTTCATAAACGTGACAGAATTCAAATGATATTTTAGTAGCGTTAAAATATGGGAGGTGTTATTGACACTCCAAAATTCTAACCGTGCACTCCAAACCTTCTATATTTAATAAGAAAAATACTCTTATAAGGACACAATTAGGTTTTTGGAGTGCAAATAATAGTTCTCTAAAATATTACCTTAAGAACATTGCCTGTTCCTGCATAAGCACAAGAAAGCAAAGTCATATCACAATGCTTTCTTATTTTTTCATTAAATGTCTTTGAAACTTCGGCAGTGGCCTCCACACTTTCCTGTGAGAAAGTAAATTCCAAAAACCATTAGAATTGTGAACTATTGAGTTCAACATTGTACTGAGCCTCTTTGGGCACAATGACATTAACCAACAAGCTTAAACTGCACAACAAACATCAAACGAAACAAAATCATGCAGGAAAGAAAAGCACATGATTTTGTATAAAGTAGAAAGAATAAACAATGAATTCCAGTAAGTTCAGCAGGATTTTACCTGCTTCCCAAGGTACAGAAGTCCAAGGCTGAGGGGAATCAACCGAGCAAGGGGCTCCCCCAACTCGGAGTCACTTCGGTCCATTAGTGCAAATATGATTGCCTGAGCAACCTCTTCATTGCAGGAACCAACGTATACCAACCCCAATGAGATTGCAGTAAATGCGACCACGTCAAGGGGGGCTTTTGCATCATTAAGTATAGGAGTCAGCTTACTACGTATCTGAAAAAAGAAGGATAAGTTAGCTTTAAATGGAAATTAACGTATAACAGATCAATCCAGACTCTAACCAAACTAACAAACTCCTGCATCAGCACATCCAAGGGCAAGGGCAGTAGTGATTAAAGAAGGTTTGACCAACTCTTCTCATGTGATTCTTGAGCCAAGAATGATACATAGAGTAGGTCCATAGTAAATGGAAAATTTTCTGTTGCCTGCCAGATATATCAACAAGAAAAAGCCAAGACACTTTACCTGCTCGTTCTGAGAACCAGCATATGCAATCCCAAGGCCCATTATAGCACCAATCCGGATAGATGGATCCTCTCTATCAATGTACTCGCCGAGAAGTGCCAGCGCCTGTAAAAGGAATTAAGATTCAGAGATACATTTCAAATGTTATATTCTGTAGATGAAAGATAGAGGTACGCACAGGATCACAATCATTCTTGATACCACAATTAACAATCCCAACCCCTAATAATGCACCAGCGATAACATGGGTATCGTTGCTGTGGAAGTACTTGTCAATTTGGGCAAGTCCAGAGTCAACATCCCACAATAAAATCATACCCTGTCACGAAGAATAACAAAGAAGATTGTAAAATGAAGTTAAAAATAAGATGATAAAATGAGCAAGGTAATATAGTCATGCATACCAGACTTGCTGCAGCACTTGTCTTCCCATGCTCTTTATTCTTGAAAAGCCAGTTTCCTGAAGAGCCTCCACTTGAGGCATCTGATGGGACTGTCATCAACTTATCCTGCACCAAAAAGAAGCATCAAAGAATGCATGTCAATCAACTCCAAAAATCGTCAACTTTTTAACAGATACATCAAGTGTAAAAAATTTTACCTGACCAAATCCAGCATTTACAAAAGCGTTAACAAATGTTGCAGCCAAGTTCTGTCTTGCTGAATCAACACTAGCACCAGCACTTGCACGGCCATCAAGTAAGTGTGCCTAAATGAAAATTCCAAGACGATATAATTATCAGAGAAGGGATAAGAAGGATAATATAAATTACACAACTGCAATGAACAAAACACAATTATATTGCATTTATTTTCTCTCATTACACATCCCACAGACATTGTAGACATGCATATCAGTGTAGATCAAGCATTACAAATAATCAGTTCAAACCTTGTAGATATCCTCTGGAGTTTTGGCCTCCATGACCTCAATATCACGAGCAAGAGTAAGATAACCTTCACTTAGCTTAGTATTGTTGATAATGTCCTGCAATACTTCCCTGTCATCATCCTCCGCAACCATCTCATCATCAAGCTCAAAACTAATACCCTGCATGAAATATAAATGCGATTAAAATTATTATATTTAAGTAAACAAGCATAAAAAATATACCATACGACATTACTGTGCAATGTTACCTTTCAGGAAAAATGCACAAAATACTTCCAAGGCTAATTGATATCACTTAAGCAATGACACCTAACTACATGCACCCACTTATCTTATAATAAAAAGCCAAAGAGAGAGAAAGAACAAGGAACAAGAGGATACACTACCCCACCCAGAACAAACCCATCACAGTTCACTCTCCCTGTCAAGGAATCAAGTTAAAATCTCACCATGAGTGTATCATGAGAAGAGAATATAACTCTATTTCAGAACATAGATTACAACATGTTTTGACAAGGAACATAAGCATGCATTCCTTCATATAAAGAAGGAAATGAAAAAAAACAAAAATTAAACACTTACATGTCGAGCAAGGATGTAGCAAAATTGCTTTTTACGAAGCAGATCATCACATGATGTAAAGACATTCTTTATATTCTGCATACATACAATC